GTTTTCTTCTGGTATATGGTGTGTCCTAGTGTGCCATCTGTTTTTTTGTAGATTAGTACATCTAGGAATGGAAGTTGTTTGTTTGTTTCTGTTTCCATGGTGAACTTGATTTTGGGGTGTGCGCTGTTTAGGTGTGTTAGGAAATTGTTTAGGTTTTCTTGTCCATGGGGCCAAATCACGAATGTGTCATCGATGTATCTTAACCATAGTTTGGGTTTGAGGATGGCATTGGCCAGGGCTCTGGATTCGAATTCTTCCATGAACAGGTTTGCAATGACAGGTGACAGTGGTGATCCCATGGGGGCTCCTTCTATTTGTTTGTATCTTTGTCACACACACACACACACACACACACATACACACACACACACACACACACACACACACTACTGATTGGGTTTGCGTGTTACAATAAACTATGGTTTATATAACCATGGTTGATAAACAGTAATTTGGCTAAATGAAACTTAAAAGCATTGTAGTTCAGTTCAGCATAATTTGTGAATTATGTTACTGTCAATTTGTGTATCTTTGTGTACACACATATTTCAGACATTTAAAGAAGTTAACCAATTCTTACTCTTTGATCATTTGTTATTTAACAATTCAGAATAATCTGAAGAGTAGAGTTGAATTTTCTGGATAATTCATTGTATTATTAACACATTAACATCTGTCTGAAGCTTTGCAAATATAATACGGAAGATTTAAACTTCTGAATTAAACTTTTGAATTTAAAGACATAGGTTCCATTTAACACTAGCAAGAGGGCACTAGAAGAAAAAGTAACATGTAATCATACTCAGGCTAAATTTACCCGCTAGCTGTTTTTTAAAGGACATAGAACTACAAATTAGCCAAGAACTTTATTGACTAGCATCTGTGATTCCAATCCATGTGATTAGCTTATGTTCTGTATGCTTTATAATTTGGCTAACTGTGCAGTCACAGTGTATCATTTGAACAAAGCCACTATGGAAATACGTTCTTACCTAGCTTGCTGCTTATCTGCTGTATATTCTCAACATTCATTTATATAGTACTATCAAATCTGATATATGAAAAATCAGATATTTACTAGATCATTGGTAAGGGAGTATCTGGATTTTTGTAGCCTAGATCTGGTGGCTTCACATAGAAGTGACCAAAAATAGAATCAAGAGTGCAAAAATGAAGAGTAAAGAGAGGTGTGATAATCGGGATAGATGCATCAAAAACAGTAAACATTTTTTGCCTCATTTTAATTTGTCAATAAATATATTCATTTTAAGAATGGAAAAAAGTGATATACAGGTAGTCTTTGACTTAAAAAGATTATGCCCATTGTGGTCATAAGTCATGACAGTCCTAAAGCAGGTCACCCAGTGACTCACCCAATTTTACAGTATTTGAAAATACTATTGTAAAATATGTCCCATCATTACTGAAAGATTTCCTGAGTTGTGATATTTTATCCATCCATTGATACCAATCAGTGTTGCATAACAGCCTGAGCTGATAAGTAAATGAGCCAAAGATTTTTACAAAGTGGAAAGGAAACGGGGGTGTTTGAAGGAAAGATTTAAGAGTTTGCAGAAGGAAATTTTGACTAGGTACAAATTCCCGCTTTCTGTAATCTAATTTTTATTGAAAGCCAGATCGTTCAAACTGAGCAGTGTTAAATATATCCAGGTTTTATATTTGGGCACTGCATTTATTGAAGACAGGACTAGATAATAGCAGAAGAAAAAAACATCAATTCTCTGTGTAGCAAATGTGAGCTAAGATGAATTTTTATTAGTACCAAGGCATGAGAAAAACCTTTCCCTACACTGATTTTGAGTTTCCTCAATATCTCAAGGTTTTGTAGTTCGAAATCAACCAAAAATATTTTTCTTATCCCAGTGCCCTTTAACTATGTTGCATTACAATTTTCATCCAGAAGTAATGTAAGCTAATTGTGAGAAATGATCAATATAGGAACATGGAATATCCTACACACACACACACCCAGGGTGAGATCTGCCTGGAAATCCAACTGAGAAATTCCACATTGTAGGTGCCTGCTGGATTGATAGCATGCCTTACTTGCTCTGCATTTCCTGCTTCACTCCAGCCTACCTTTTCATAGGATTTCATTTTCATTGTTTATTTCATTGTTTCATTATTTTGCTACTGTTACATTTACATTTATTTTCATTTCTGTTTTTACTGTTGTAAGCTGTCCAGATGAGCCTCATGGTGAGGTAGTCAGCAAATAAATTTAACCAATAAATAAAATATCTATAGAGCAATAGCCTGAGAAACTTAATACTATAGTAACACATCCTTTCTCAAGGCTGTTACAGAAACATGAAAAAGTGTTATGTGTCTGTGTGTATTTCCTTTTCTGAAATTATATGTATGTGT